TGTAGGATAAGCACTGGGCCTCAAGGTTCAAACCCACCAGCCACTCCTCAGAAACCCTATACAGGCTTACTGTTAGTCAGAGTGGCACTATGGAATAAGTACTGGACAGTTAACTACAAGGTTGGTGGTTCAAACCTGCCTGCCATTCCCTGGAAACCGTACACAGGGTCGCAGTAAGTCTGAACCTACCGACAGCCTTTAACAACATAAAATTATTAAAAGGCACCCCAGTAGCACAGTAGTTACAACACTCAGCTGCTCATTGAAAGGTCAGTAATTGGAACATACCTGTTGCTCTGTGAGAGAAAGATGTGGTAATCAGCATTGGAAATCTTCTAGGGCAGTTCTATAGCGTCCTGTAGGATTGCTATGGTTGGAATTAACTCCGTATCACAATGGGTTTCATTTTGATTATATTGCCATCTGTACTGAATAAATAAGGATTTTTGTCTTCTTCCCATATCCTTCCTGCCCATAAGTTACTAATCAAGTTTCCAGAACTATCTAAGAACAGCTCCTGTTCATTGCAAATGCAATAAAAATTAAGTTCAGCCGCTGAACTTGTGTTTGAGGCATTTAGAAAACCGTGACTACAGGGCTTATTTTGAAATAAAAGGAAAAATAAGGGAATTTCCAGTGTGCAATGTCTGATCAGTACATATTTAACAGCCTTGTCTGTGTGTGCAGCATTCATTTTAAGAATGGTGATTTAAAGAAATGCCAACACCTTCATTCTTAAGTGCAAAATCAAATAATGTCCCCTGTGCAGCAGGAAAATTATCTGATAGGTCTATTGAGTTTTCAACAAGTTGATGAAAAGTCAAGTATTTTGGCATAAAGCTCAATGAATATCGACCAAAAGACCAAGTTCCTGACTCTGGTTTAGTTGTGAATCTAATTAGCCTTAGCTGGTACACCTGTATATGGAGTAGAATTTGTCCTACTCTCCTGTTTGCCAGAAAGTAGGCAACTCAGTTTGTTTCTGTCTACCTGAGCATTTTCGTATTTTCTTGCTTAGCAAGAAACAGCATCAACGTCTTCCCCAGGTACTAACTTTCTCACATCCGTCCCTAAATGCCCTGCCTTCTGATAGAGCTCTTTGAATAAAGCTCTTTGAAAGTTTAATCATAATTAAATTTTAATTATGTTTTTTAGCCTGAGACCACTGGGAAGCAATAAAACCAAGTTGTTGATCTCTATTTGCAATGTAATTTTCTGATTTAGGTAATAAATGCATGTTAATTTTTTCCCCCTTCTAGACATGAGTCACCTCCAGGTAGATTACAGAGATAATAGCAGGCTGCATCAAAGCGAAAACTCCTCGCTGGACTCCATCACTTTGGTCGTGGTTCCCATCATCATCTGCCTGTCTATTATAACGTTCCTATTCATTAATCAGAAGAAACAGTGGATACCACTGCTTTGCTGGTACCGGACACCAACCAAGGTACTGTCCTGGAAAATCTTCAGTCTCTTGAATCATGAAATTAGGAAAGCTTACATTCTTGGAGTCCCTTAAAATCGCTGGGTACCTTTCGTGTTAGTGAAACGTTTACCTTGCTCTTCATAGCTCTACATATCAGATATATAGTATTTGTCCAGGGCTGAATTGATTTCTGGGTGAATTATCCATCATCTATTGGCTCGTGAATCCAGACCTAGCATGGATCCAAGTTTCAGAATTTAAAGTTTTCCAATGAATGGGATAGAGTCTTTATGCTGGGCACACACTGGGTCCCAGCAGTCCATAGCTTCTCACTGTGTGTGGTGACGGGCCAGCCTACAGGCTAGTAATCGTCTATTAGAAATCACTCCTTTATTTTTAAATTCTTTATGCCTGGTAACTCCCACTCATTCTTCAGTGGTCTTAAATGTAAGTCTGCACTTCAAGGATTTGAAAATAGTGGTCAGGTCACTTCTTCAGTCTGTTGTTCAGTTTGTCATGTCAGTATCCATCATAAATGTATACTTGGAGCTAGTCTAGAATGTGATTAACTCAACATACTGTAAAGCTAGTACCTCACTTGAATCAGTAAAGCAGCTAATTGTGGTCTTTCCTCCTCTCATTAAATAGCCTTCTTCCTTAAATAATCAGCTGGTATCTGTGGACTGCAAGAAAGGAACCCGAGTCCAGGTGGATAGTTCCCAGAGAATGCTAAGAATTGCTGAACCAGACGCAAGATTCAGTGGCTTCTACAGCATGCAAAAACAGAACCATCTACAAGCAGACAATTTCTACCAAACAGTGTGAAGAAGGGCAACTGAGATGAGATTTGGAAACACAGAAAACGACTAAATCTGTTCTTAAAAGTAAACTAGGGTTTGTGCACTTGCTTAGTGGATTGTATTGGATTGTGACTTGATGTACAGCGCTAAGGCCTTCCTGGGATGGGCTCTGTCGCCAGCAACGTGTGCAGAACAAGCATTCCCACTTTTCCTCAGATAACTGACCAAGTGTTTTCTTAGAACCAAAGTTTCTAAAGTTGCTAAGATATACTTGCTTGTAATATAGCTGTAGAGATATTTGGGGTTGGGGACATTGAGTTTGGTTGGGGAACTGGGTGGGAGGGTGGTGTTGGGAAGACAAATTGGTCAGCTGGCTCGGGGAGAAACCCAGTAGATGAAAAGCAGTTCCATGACCCAGCATCCAGAGGGTGTCTTTTCCTGCTGCTCTCCATGACTGCAGAGGTTACTACACAGCACCGTTGAGGCCTGGACAAGCAGGACACAAAGGCCTTGTGATCCAGCTGCCCAACGAGTGCTTCAGAACCTCTTAATAGCCATCCCAGGTCTAAAGCCACAAGTTTCTTTTCTCAACAGTCACAACTGCACTAGGCAGTGAGGAAGCAAGGGAAATGCAAGAGCAAAATTTCTCTAAAGCGGGTTCTTAGGAATATACACAGTTATACTTTTTGCTGCTTTGTTTTGTTTTGTTGTTTTCTTCCAAGCCAATCAGCCAGTTTATTAGCAGAGACAGCAAACGATCAAGACCTAAGTCACTCCTTTATGAAGAGCACTGGAGCTTTTTTATAGTAACGTGGCAGGCAGGAGGGTGAGGATGAAGGACACCAGGCGTTTCCAGGGGCTGTACTCCGTTGTTTGTTGTTGTTTTGTTCTCTTCTCATGTTGGTTGTTCATAGTTTTTGTTGAAGCTCTAGCTTAAGAAGAAACTTTTTTAAAAAAAGACTGTTTTGGGGATTTTTTTTTTTTTTGCCTTATTATATACTGATTCTACAAAATAGAAACTACTTCATTTTAATTGTATATTATTCAAGCACCTTTGTTGATGCTCAAAAAAAAATTATGCCTCTTTAATTTAGCAATTATAGGAATATTTATGTAACTGTCTTATGCTTCAAGAAAACAAAGGTATTTGTGTGTGTATATATACACATACATACATATATATATTTATACACATACAATTTATGTTTTCCTGTTGAATGTATTTTTATGAGATTTTAACCAGAACAAAGACAGAAAAACAGGCATTAAGTATCAGTGCTTTTGATCACTTAAACCAATTTCTGAGTAACGTAATATCTCATTCTACCTACGGCTTAATTAGAAAGGTGTGTGAGTGGTTGTATAAATATACATAAGCACATTCACCTGCGATTCAGTATGTGCGTGTACGTATGTACACGCCTTAAACAGTCAGCATGGCACCTGTTATGGAGAAGGTTTTTCTTTATTAAAATCTCCCTCATTTGGATTTGCTTACACTTGGTTTTCAATTTGCTCACTGGCCAGAGACATTGAAGGCAGTTTATCTGCATCACTAATCAGCTCCTGGATTTTTTTTTTTTTTTTTCAAACAACTGTTTGAAACAACTACTGGAATATTATCCACAATAAGCTGGAAGATTGTTGTAGTTTGCCTCAAATATAACTGACTGTATACTAACTATAGTGTTAACTTTTCAAACAGCTCTTAGCACTTTTATACTAATGACCCATTTGTGCATTGATTTTTCTTTTAAAAAATGCTTGTTGTGAAAGACACAGATACCCAGTATGCTTAATGTGAAGAGAAAATGTGTTGTTTTGTAAAGGAACTTTCAAGTATTGTTGTAAATACTTGGACAGAGGTTGCTGGACTTTAAAAAAAAAATTAATTTATTATTATAATGACCTAATTTATTAATCTGAAGATTAACCATTTTTTTTTTGTCTTAGAATATCAAAAAAGAGCAAAGAAAAAGGTGTTCTAGCTGTTTGCATCAAAGGAAAAATGATGATTTATAATCAAGGGGCAATATTTTTATCTATTTCCAAATTAAATTTGTTAATGATATGTTACCAAAATAGATTTACATCAGCCTGATTAGTATAAAATTTTGTTGACAATTAATCCATTCCTGGCATAAAAGTTCTTTATCCAAAAAGTTGTAAATGCTTGCTTTTTGTTTTTCAAAAATCATGGCCATATTATGAAATACTAACAGGATATAGGACAAGGTGTAAATTTTTTTTTTTATTATTTTAAAGATATGATTTATCCTGAGTGCTGTATCTATTACTCTTTCTTTGGTTCCTGTTGTGCTCTTGTAAAAGAAAAACAAATATAATTTCCTGAAAAATAAAATAGATATATGGCACTTGGAGTGCACTGTAGTTCTACAGTTTGCTTGCTTTTCTTTTAAAAAAAAAAAAATCTATGTATCTGTAGATATGTGCATTATATACATACATATATACAAAGCTGTAAGGGGATTTGCATTTTGGTTCTTGGCAGCAAATAAACATTCTAAAATCTCTCTGGAATTAGGACAAAAAGCCCTTTTGTTTCATTCAGGTTGCCAGTCTGATGAACCTTCAGGGCTGAAAGCAGCCCAGATGCTCCATCAAAAGGCAGACTTTTCCCCAGGGTGCATTGCTCAAAAGGTTAGTGGGCCAAAAACCCGCCTGCAAAAGTCACAGGTCGGAAACCTACTCACCATTGAATCTGTCAAAATGCATAGAAGCAGGCAGGAGTTGTGGTGGAAACTCCCAGTAGTTTACTGCTGACCAGGAGGTATTTTGCCAAGCAAAATGAGGAGAAACCCAATGACGCAGAGACTTTGATAGTCTTCACTAAAAGGCAAAATTTTACAAATTCAGATCAGACAGTTTAAATTATTCATACTAATATTATTGGAGTCCTATGCACTGGACCGCAAGGTTGGCAGTTCAAACTCACCACTGTCTCTTTGGAAACCCCATACAGGGTCACTTGAGTCAGAACTGACTCAAAGGCACTAAACCAAAACATTGTTCTTTAAGTATATGTCTTTTCATCAGTCAAGGGTAAGGGGCACTATCCAAATTTCCACTATCAAATAAGACATTAGTAAAACAAAGGGAGCCAGCCTCCGCAGAGCTGGTCTGGGCTCCAGCCGTGGCAGTCACAATGTCTCACTGACTATCTCCATATGCTCATGGATGTTTAAATGGAATTTTAAATGCCCCTTGATAGCAAGTCCCATATGCATTGATGTCGTAAGCTGCCATAGCTTTTGGGAATGTCTCAAAGCTCCAGACATAAGGAGGATTTTGATCATTCCTAAACAGCTCTGCAGAACCTAGCAAGGACCCACTGCCCATCCTGACCTCTCCAGGGCTGCTCAGGGCTTCACGCATGGATGGACTCTGCATGGAAGAGGTGCTAGGGAAGAAAATCATGAACAAAAGCACAAAATGAGGTACTCAGCAAATATTACTTTTTGGCTTTAAACCCATTTATTAAATGACATTCACTTGATTGGAACCAGCAAAATTGCATTATGGCTAGTGATCTATCCATGAGTAGTTGTTTCTAGAATTAGTATTTTAGAGAAATAGGCATCAAATAATACACAATGGGAAATGTACATTGCTACAGCATACCACTTCTTAAAGCACCGTCAAAGATAACCAACCCTTCTTACAGTGCACTCCCATTCACGGAGACATGAAAGAAGACATTTAAACATCTAAAAATGAATACAAGATTCTGAAAGAATGGCAACTTAATCGTTAGAGTTGGAACAATGGTAATAAGCAGCAAGCTATAAAATCCATCCATCGTCTCCAACAGTGTTAACATTCACTAAGTATTGAGCGTGTGGTGCTGTTGTTCCATTTCGGTCTCTGGACAATACTGGTCGGTAATATGTATACTGAAAATTCTCTTATAAAAAGCAGTGGTGGCTCTTGCCTTCACTGAAGCATAGCTATAGTATAAACTCTTAAAGCTTTAATCTACATCTTCAGTGCAATGTAGACCTAGAAAGCCATACGCACCCAAGTGGCCACACTGCCAGTTAGCAAACAATACAACTGCACATGCATAAGTAATATTATTCCCCTTACTGTGCTAAGTTAGAGACCAGTTCAAGATTATTAATAGATTTAACAAACACCATCTCTAGATCTCCAAATAGTGCCATATTTCTTTATTCTAGAATAAAGTGGAGCCATGATCTATTAATACTGAAGTCACAAACCCAAGTTCTTGTGTGCTGCAGTACCAATAGCAGGAAAGCAGTGATAGCCAGCTTCCAGAGTAATGGGACAGAAACCCGAGCACGATCGTGGTTCATGGAGCGTGAAGCTGTTCCTGGCGTGATGCTGCTGCTCTATGTAGGACAAAGAACTAGAAGGCGAGAAGGTGAGAAAGGAAACTTCAGTAGACATACATTTTATATACACTTACATAAAATGCACAGGAACCCTGATAGCACAGTGGATTAAGAGCTGAACTGCTAACCACAAGGTAAGCAGTTCAAATCTACTAGGTGCTCCAAGGGAGAACGATGAGGCCAACTCCAAAGCACACAACCACTGCCACCATGTAAAATGCATATATATTTTAATATGTGTATTAAACAATAAGGAATGATAAATGTTAATGCAAGGGTCTCTATATAGTAACACTTGAAGGGGTGGTAGTGAGAAGGGACTTAAAAGTCCACACACAACAATGAGCTCCCCCAAACTACATAAGAATTTTCCAGAAATGAGATACTAACAGAGTTAGAACACCACATGGAGTTATAATGCCACAGCATTAGCCCTGCGAGGAGTCCTGGTGTGGCACTGTAGCATAAGCACCTGATGGCAGGGATGGTTTGGACCGTAAGGTCACCAGTTCAAATTCAACAGCTGCTCCTTGGAAACCCTATACAGGGTCACTGTGAGTCAGAACTGACTCAACAGTACTTAACATCAACAAGGCTTGTATGTAACACAGGAGATGGGGTCCCTAGTGAAGTCAGAGAAGGGTGCACGTTTATTCCCAGTGAAGACCAGCACAGAGAAGCCAGGACTACATCTCTAGCTAGCCTCAGGTGCTGCTGGGCAAGGGTGTTGGCGGGCTGCAGTGCAACAGTTAGGCAGGTGAGGGAGGGGAAGGCTTAATTAGCCCATCCAACGTCTATCCTAACCATCTCAGGCCAAAGGAAACCACTTTTCTACCTTCTCTCACTTCGCACCTTTGCATTAAAATTAAGAGGATGTGTTTAAGCAGCTAAGTCACACTCAACGGTGTTAAGTGACAACAAAATCCAGCCAAGAAGTGGAAACTTCACCCCAGCCCTCCCAGGCCAAGTGTTCAATTGCTGGTCCCCAAGGAAGCACAGTTAAATGGCTGTGAATTTCCAGGATGGGTGGAAAAGAGCAGTTTCAATTAACCCACATCACCACCTTCCCACCTTTGTACATTAAAAAAAAAAAAAACCAACAAATCAACAGCTCGAACTCATGGCGACCTCATGTGTCAAAGTGGAGCTGTGCTCCTCAGGGTTCACAACTGTCTTCAGTGACTTTTCATAAGTACATCAGCAGGCCTTTCTTTCCAGGGGTCTTTGGGTGGATTTGAACCTCCAAGGTCTAAACCACTGACACCACTGTTTTCTCAGAATACAGACACATTTTAGTAGTCTGAATCCTTTTCCACCCAGTCCTCATAATACAGAGCCAAGACAAGCCACAGTACATGCACACAGCGGCTCATGAGAAGCTAGTACGATGCAGAGAGAGCCGGGCTTGCCTACAGAAGCCAGGCCCTGAGCATGAGGGGCCAAGAAATGGGTGCTGTTTCCCTAAGGCATGCAGGATAGGTTCATGTGACAGTTCACAGAGTACAGAATTAACAAAACATATTCCCCAGAGGACTCTGTTCTCTGGATCACAATATTCCTCCATAAAGTCAAATGGCAGAAAATTGCTAGAGAATGCCTCGAGAGCTCAATCAATGGCCCTCATGAACAGTTCCCTGGGCATCCACTGTAATTAAAAATTAGGATGGGTCTTTATGTTCGACTCATTCCTGTTTCACAGTGACAACAAACCTCAGAACAATCCAGCTTTCATACCAATGCTAGCGCAACACAAAAGCAAACAAAGATGTCAGGTGTTAAAAATTCCAGAATGCAACAGAGAAAAAATGCCTTGGGGGGAGAGGGGGAACGGAGCTTACAAAGCAATGTCAATTCAGTCTTTCCTACCCTCCTCCACCATGTTAACCTTGTTTATGAAATGAGAGTCCCTAGTTAATTAGTTAAGACCTAACATCTTAGAAATCCCCACCTTTCTTATGCTTAGCTAACTAACAACTGATGGAGAAAAGAAGAAATGGAGTTCCTGGTGCGGTGCTGTGGGATAAATCACTAGACCACAAGGTCGATTTGAACCTCAAGGTTGGCAGTTCAAACACCAACCACTCCTTGGAAAGCCTACACAGGGTCGCTGTGACTCTGAACCAACTCTATGGCACTTAACAAGAAAGAAGAAATAGGTTACCAAAAGATGGGATGTTCTCAAATGCGTATTGTGATACTTTGCCTGAAAACCACCCCCCCACACACACACACACAAAAATCATGAAGTGTTAGTTCTATCTGTAATTCAGTTCAGTACCCTCTCTTATCATCCAACATCTGCCCTGAGCAAAGTAACTGGGCTCATAAATTTCTGAAACCACCCTTTTCTCATCACTCTTTCCATTTGTTTGATCTTGCTTTCCAGCATTTCTGGCTCAATTCTCACTGCCCTGGTTTGTGAAAGTCAGTTATCTTCTTTGCCCCCTCCCCCCATTCCACTCCCGCCACTTCCTGTCCCCTTGGGACATAACTAATATGACAGTCCCATCCTTCACCTATCCTCACTGAGGACCCAACTTACTCCCTATTCTACAGCGAAACGTCCCTACTGGGGCCCTCCGAGCATCCGTGTCCAGCACCTGAGAGTCACAGAGTTACGGCAATATCTCACTGATTTCCCTCTCCTGCCTTCCTCGTTTGGTTGTAGAAATTATTTTCATTCCAGGACCTCAAAAAGAACTCGAGTTTTCTACACCCATAATTTATAATAATCATAACATACCTAAATCCTATGAATCATAATCGCCCTAAACATTAATGAATAAAAGGATAATAGAAATTGTACACTTGCAAGTTATTTTTTGATTGACAAGATGATACATTCATTGACTACTCAGTGCTTCCCACCCGTTGTACATATTCCATTATGGAACGTACCTTTCAGTATATAATCAGTTAGCAAGCTTGGGACCTTTTCACTGTCCTCCCTCATGGCACAAAGAACTGCAAAATAAAGGACAAAAGAAAAAAAGCAATGCTTTAAAATCCAGATTGAAAATATTCTATAATTCAAACTACTGTAGCCTTGATCTAAATTACACGAGATAGCTAATTCACAAACACCATAAATTATTCTGAAAAAAAGGAATACAAGAGTAAAGGCACAAGACTTTAGAGTTGAACAGCATGGGTTTTAACTATGCGGGTCCACTTATATTTGGATTTTTTTTTTTTTTTTTATGTTATATGACACTAATCATCTCTACGTGAGCAGTTTATCTCTCCAGTAAGTTTCAAATAGCAACAAAAATTGATGTCTCATGCGTCTCTGTATTTGTCATCATATTCAGTCCAATACCGTAAACCTCCAATAACACCATGGGACTCATAGGAAGTGCCACCAGTGATGCTGGAACTGCTCCCAAGAAGCAGAGACAAGTTATCACATTACAAGTAAAAGTTGAATTGCTTGATATGTACCAAAGAGTCAGCTCTGCAGCTGTGGTTGTCGGCCAGCTCAAGATAAATGAATCCAGTATAGGAACCTTTGTTAGAGAAAAAAGAAATCTGTGATGTTGCTGTAGCTATACCAGTAAGTTTGAAAACCTTGCAGTTTTTGTGAAATACATTTTGTCTCACTGAAAATGCAGTGTTTACATGGGTGCAGTATAAAATACTGTTGTTGTTATTCTTAAGTGCAGTTAAGTCAGTTCTGACTCATACCGACACTATATAATTTCCAAGGAGTAGCTGGTGAGCTTGAACTGCTGACCCTGTGCTTCAAGTTGGCTGTGCAGTCCAGCACATTAACCCACAGCGTCACACCAGGACTCCATCAAATACATATATAAAATATGTATTTATTAACTATTTGTGATTGATAAGGCTTCCAGTCAGTAGCAGACTAATAGTTGATCTCCACTGTGCAGGAGAGGTCAGTGCCTCTAACCTTCATGTCGCTCAAGGGTCAGCTGTTCGGACTCAATCAGCCCTGATCCAGGTAGGAATCTTCCCAGTGCACAGCAGTTATTTCCTGAGAGAAATTTCTCAGTAGTGGAAGCAGGTAAGAGGAATGGGATTTTTGGCCCAGAACCTGAGTTCTGTACTGACAGGCACTGAGCAGTGAATCATCACAATGTGGTCTCTCTCTCTGTGCCCTGTGAAAAACCAGGACCCCGTTGCTGCAGAGTTCGCCAACTGGAGAAACTCAGATAAATGGTACTTAGCAATGCTCTTCAAAGAGCTCTCTAGCAGCCGCCTTTGCAATTTTGCTTTTAAAAAACAACCAAAATAAAAAAACAGAATTCCATGAAACAGGACCCACCTGCCAGGTTACTTACTCCTCCTATGTTGTGTGAAGTACTGTTGGTACATTGATTAAATGTGTGGCTAATAATCTAAAGGTTGGCAGCTTGAACCCACCCAGTGGTACCAAGGGAGAAGAGCAGTCTGGTGATCTGATCCCATAGACATTACAGCCTAAAAAACCCATGTGGCAGTTCTACTCTTCCACATGGGGTCACTAAGGAATAAAAAAAATATATCACCACAGCACCTAACCATAACAAAGCTATGGAGAAACCTGGGTGAGTGATATTCATCCTGAACAGAACCTTTGAAAATTGTGTCTTCTACATGAAAAACAAAAAGGAAAAAGAACAGCCATCTGATTAGTGGTTTAAAAATGAAACCTAAATCATAGGGCAAATCTACCACTTTAAATTATTACAGAGCACAGTTGTCACTTTTAAGACTAAGGTGCTCCTGATTCAAGACATGGCATTTTCAATTGCCTTATATGCATACAACAGGTGGACAATGAGTAAAGAAGACGGAAGAAGAATTGATACATTTAAATGATGCACTGATGAAGAATATTAAATATACCACGGACTGTCAAAAGAATAAACAAATCTGTTTTGGAAGAAGTACAGTTGAATTGCTCCTTGGATACAAGGATGATGAGACTTCGTCTCTCATACTGTGGACATGTTGTCAGAAGGGACCAGTCCCTGGGGAAGGACATCATGCTTGGTAAAGTAGAGGGTCAGCAAATAAGAGGAAGACCCTCAACAAGAGGGACTATCACAGTGGCTGTGAGAATGGTCTCACACAGAGTAATCACTGTGAGGCCGGCCCAAAACCTGGCAGCATTTTTTCAGTTGCACAAAGGGATCAAAACTGACAAAAGAGTACCCGACATTCAGTCTAGGATAAAACTCATGCAAAAAAATATTCTACTAACTGTAATTGCCAACTCAAACTTTGCCCAGAGAATCATGGTAAGAACAGTTTACTATTTTCCAGACAGGTAACAAGGCCAGATACAGTGTCAATTGCCAAACCAGCCCTCCTGATAGATACCTTATGTCTGCCACTCCCTAGCTATGTGACTTTGACTAAGTCCCTTAAATACTCTGTGCACCAAGATCCTCATCTGCAAAATCAGAATCATTAGATCTGCCTCAATGGCTTGTTGTAAGGATTAAATGACTAATTTAGCACTTCAAATAATGCCTGGCTTGTAATATATACTAGGTAAGAATTGTTGTTTTTGCTAAGCGCTGCTGAGTCTATTCTGATTCATAGAGACCATCTATAGGGTTTCCAAGGAGCGGCTAGTAGGATTGAACCACCAACCTTGTTCGCAGTCCAGTGCTGATCCTAGAACACAAGGCACACCAGGCACCACCTCTAGACGTCTCTCTCTTTACTCTGGGGAAAGGTCCTTGTGTTTTTTCAACTCTCTTCCTTGGTTCTTTATCTATCTTATTTGATTGTTCCTGCAGCGCTTTCCTGACTTCTTCCTTATTTTTCTCAACTCCATTATATAGTGTTTTGATACATTTTATAATCATTTTTTCTGAATTCCTTTTCAGGTATTTCCAAAGCCTGCCCATCTTCCAGTATGGAGTGTAGGTCTACTTCCAGCTCATTTGCCTCAGTCACTTTATCTCATTTCTGGACATGTTCAGATATGGTCATCTGTTTCTGTTTCTTTTGGGCATATTCAGGGGTTATCTGTGGCCTTAATACTTTTTGTATTTTTTATGCTTTCTGATTGCCTCCAGGTAGATGTGATCAGGAAATGGGCTTCCCTTTTCACTCTTCTTCTTGAGAAATTTCAAGATGCCACTGTTGGTCGTTTTGATGTAATTTAGGATTTAATTTTCGGCTTATTTCCTTTTATGTATGCTTCTCCCGCTCCACAATCCCCGTTCAGGCTTTTTTTCTAGTTATAAACAGTTCAGGGCCAGCTGTGGCTGTTTGGTTTAAATTGGAAACTGTCTCTTTAAATTTTAAGAAGCTCTGTGCACATGCGTAGTAGAGACCTCCGAGGGTGTGGCTGGGTGCCCATTAGGTCAGGTACCCCTAGAGTCACCAGAATGGAGGTGCTCCGACAGCAAGGGATCAATGAACAGCTACCAAAGGAAAAGAATGTCCACACCTTTATCTCTGCGGTTCTGCCAGGCTTCTGTGGCCGCTCTGATCCTTCCTCCGCTTGGTCTCACCCAAGATGGTGGCTCCTGGAGGAGGTGAGCATCCCAGACTAGAAAGAAATGAATTTCTTGCTTCCGCCACAAATTCCCCCAGCTGTGAGCCTTCCAACCTTCTAAATATTCCTTTATATGTGGTTCAGAGTTCTGGGACCAACCATCCCCTGAGCCTGCTTGGTCAGGTATTCTGTGTTGTTGCCGGCGGAGTTCTTTACTGCACTTCCACCTGATCCGCCATCTTGTTTGTTCTCATGTTCCTTGGTTCTTGGAGATATTCATGTAGCTGGCATGGATCTTCCTCCATCTATGCTTGCTTGTTTCTATGCCTAATCTGCTCTATTTATATAATGCTATTGGACTCCTGATGTAGTGCTGCAGGTTAAATGTGCTGGACTGCAAGATTGGTTTTAACTGCAAGATCAGTGGTTCAAGCTCACCAGCTTCTCTTGGGAACCCTATAGAGGGTCGCTATGAGTCAAATCAACTCGATGGTACTTAACGACAATTGGACTTCTGGTGTGGCACAGTAGGATAAACACTGGACTGCGAGCCACAAAGTCGGCAGTTCAACCCCACAAGCTGCTACTTGGAAACCCTGTGTAACGTCACTATGAGTCAGAATTGACTCAATGGCACTTAGCAACAACATTCTACGTATATGACCCTACAGAGAGGTGGCTCTGTAGGATAAGCCCAGGACTCTGAACTGCAATTTCAGCGGTTTGAGCCCACCAGCTGCTCTGAGGGAGAAAGGTTCATCTTTCTGCTCCCGATTTACAGCCAAGGAAACCCTATGGCTATGAATCAGAACTGACCCAACAGTTCTTAACAAATTCCCAAAAAAGGATTACACCCTCCGTTTAGGATTTACAACATATATTTGGGGGTGGACACAACTCAGTCCGTAGCAATCACTCTAACCCTAACCCTCTCCTATTCAGTTATTAACAGTCATACTCATGTGATAGCCATGGAACATCTGATTTACTGCTAAACAGATAAATCCTTAAGCTAACGCAAGAAGTGATGGAGAATCAGGTTACGTGTCTTTTCCCAAAAAATTTAGTCCATAAATGTTTCAAGATGTAAGGAAACCAGAAAAAAGACAAGTCAACTGTAGAGTTAGTACAGTATTCCATGTCATAGCCATGCATGTTTGCTCATAAGGGTAAACCTGGCATTCAGCATTCATCCTAAATTGACAACAAAACAAATACACTACCCACAACAACAAAATCAGGTCACTGCAGGATAATGTGCTAAACCACAAGGTCAGTTTGAGCTGTAAGGTTGGCAGTTCAAACCCACCAGCCGCTCCTTGGAAACCCTATACAGGGTCGCTATGAGTCAGAACAGACTCGACAACACTTAACAATTGAAGAATCAGCGAAAGAAAAAAAGGTAACCGTTTTCATTTTGTCTTTGCTTACTTTTTGTTAATATTTGAAGATCTTCAACAGATGGTGGTCCGTTTTTTTTCTCATAAGGAATGACTGTTGTCAAGTACTGCCAAGTAAAAACAAACAAACAATGCATCACTTTAACATGAGTTATTTTATCTGCAAACATTTGATACAGAGGTCTATCCTAAAACCTGAAACATGAGCTACTTTGGTAATGAAAATGGAGGGATGTGTACAAATAAAAGTCTCTTACTATCTCAGCTGGAAGTCATTTCTCTGACTTGTTTTTAACTGCAACTATCCATTTGTACAAACTCACTGTCAACATAAATATCCACTTACTCTTTTGTATTTCATCGCTGTCAATACCACAGGATTAAGTCTGAGGGAGATGTGTTAAATTGGTTCATTTTTAAAGTGAAGCCTTATCTAACAGGCTACCTGCATATTTTTCAGCATTTAAAAAAAACAAAAAAGAGCTATTAAAACTAAAAACTCATTTGCTTTGCACAACAAAATCATTTTCAACAACCAAATAACTCTTTCAGACCACTTTTACTGTGGTGGAACGAAATGATCAGATAGATAACTTGATAGCTTTAAAAACATGCCTACCAGCTTCTTCCAAAAGCTAACTTAGAATACTTTGTCTTTACTTTACATACATTTTAGAGGTGCTTTTAATATTATTATTTAAAATTGTTATGTAAGTAGTTAAAATGCTTAAAAGTATTAAAGGAACAGAAAAAAACAGTCTAAAATTCATGTTTGAAATGGAGACAGACTATTTAGTTCACTTCACTATTGAGAAGACTCACAAGTATATGAATTATATCCCATAATATATTTCATAAAAGCATATTCAAAAAATTCTTGTCTAGATTCTTCTATTCTAACCTCCCCACCAAAGTGCATACAGACACACATGTATGTATGTATGTATATATATATATATATATGTGTGTGTGTGTGTGTGTATGTACATATGCTGGACTGTATGTATATATGTGTGTGTATGTATGTATATATGCAACATCAGTTCAAGCTCACGAGGCACTCCCTGAAAACCCTATACAGGGTCCCTATGGGTTTGAACCAACATTATATAGTTAAGCATTATTTGCATAAGCTGACATGAAGATGTATTGGTTTTTATCTGCTATCTTTTCAGCCTCACTTAGCCCATGCCCTAAATTTCAGCTGTATGCCTAATCCTCAATGATCAATCTTATCCCACCCATAATGAAAAAAAACAAGATCAAGATGGTCACTTAATGATAACTGGAGTCACAGATCCAGTAAAGTAAAGTAGTCAGTTTTTTGCCAACTTTTCAGACTTTATGAAGAGATGCCTAATTAAATGACAAACTGTGTTTCCTGTAAAAAATACAGAAAAGAGAAGGAAGCCTTTTAAGATCTGTAATAACACAAGTGCCAAGCAGCTCTGAGAAGGACCCAGACACCCGTACAATCCAGCTAATCTTACGGGCCCTGGGACACCACTTGCAAGTGCTGGATCAGTCTGGAAGTTATGCTGCCATATTTGGGTTTGAGACAGGTGAGAAACACCAGACTGAAAACAGGACTTCAGCCTTTCTTTTCCATGGAACACCTTTCTGAGCTACAAATGTCAGTGTGAACCTTCCTTTCTTAATGTGGATTCTCTCTCTTCTTGAGTGGGACAGAACCAACTTCAAAAAAATTCTAGGCTTAAATGCCTTCTATTGATAAACTATCTATTGCCTACGTTCTACATACCTTCTGAATTTCCACTGAAGGGCTAACTTAGTCTTCCTTTTAAACTGAAAATTGCAAATTGTAAAAGGTAATTTTAAGAATGCTCATTAATTGTAGCTGTATTTCCCATGCTCGTGAAATTCCTTAAATCATAACACAATGATGTTAATAAAAAGCAAAGTGAAACATATTTGTGTATATTCATATCCATTCATGAATTTTATATAAATATTACCTTTGTCTTTAACCAAACCCTGTGTTGTTATATAACTTAAAAACACATGAATTTCATTTAAAAGGAAGTAAAATACACATTTTTTTTTTTTTGCCATTTAAACTGTTTTTCAGGTGTACAATTCAGTAGCATTAATTATATTCACCATGGTGTTCAAGCATCATCGCTAAGAATGTACATGTTTTTGACCTAGAACTTCAGTCTGAAAGATACCAAACTTCTGGCTTTCTTCTCCTACACATCAGGCCTTTAAACTTAAGAGTAGCATAGTCTCATGGAGTTATTGTCACAATCACACTTTCTACACATGCAATTTATTATGTCAGCAGGTTAATGCACTGAACTGAAAAGTTGGTTTAAACTGCAAAGTTCAAGCTCACCAGCTGCTCCTCAGAAACCCTATACAGGGTCACTATGGGTCAGAACTGACTCGACAGCAGTTAACAACAACATTTGTTTAAAGGTAAGCATGAGAAATGGAGCTCTAAAACTTACATTAAGAATACATTTAGTCTACTGTTCATTTTGAAAAATACATTTTTCCCCCTAAGGAAAATTCTGTTGGTTATTGAAACTATAATTAGCTTTCATTTCTGTCTTTCAAGCACTGGTCTTAATAAATTAGTAAAACTGGCAACTTTCTGGCCCTTCACTTACACAGAGAATTAACAAGCAGAGAATGAGGAAAAAACCGAGCACCTGTTTCTCTCCACCTGAATTTCCAAAGGTGTGGCGGAGGCCATTCTGAATGACATTTGAGATCCCTTCCATGCTGAAGCGCTACAAGGCAGCAATGTACGGCCCGGAAGAAAAGGACAGAGAAAGAAGTTCAGAGACTATTAGTTAGAATGGACCATGATGAGTTGTGTGCCCAAGGCAAGCAGTTAGAAAATGCTACTACTAGTTCACATAAAGCAGATAAAACCATACGTGCTTTCTTGTTGTTTAATTGTTTTTCACTTTCATTTTTTTGCAAGTCAAATTCAAAAGCCAAAGCTTTTATGCTAGTAAATTCCTGACAATGTTTGTTCAGACATGGCTGGTCAAAGTGTTCCAATGTAATCACTGTGATTCGCCCATGTATTCGTTTTTGACAAAATTTACCACAGAAATTGCAAGCTACCTTTTGAGTGAGTCCTGGTGTGATGCTGTGGGTTAATGCACTGGACTGCAAAGTCGGTTTGAACCGCAAGGTCAGCAGTTCAAGCTCATCAGCCACTCCTCGGAAACCCTACTATACAGGGTCACTATGGGTTGGAACTGACTCGACAGCACTTAACAACAACCACCTATGTTTTACCAAAAGTCTGAAAACTTGTTACTAACAGAATGCAAATTTTCAGTCAAGGTTTGCATATTTCTACCACAAGTTGAAGAAAATCAACATCATGTTTGGCAAATGAAAATGCTATTCTTGGAGAGTTGGTGATCCCTTCCCACTCACTCTTCATGCCACCTGCCACTGCCAGGGAAGAAAGAAGGCTTGCCAGACAGGCTTTGTGCTTCCTGGACCTCAGAGTGGGCCCAGGAATTTCTGAGAAGACTTCTTCATTTGATGTCTAGAAAACTGTTCTAGCCTCTTCTTCCCAGCAACCTCCAACCCTTCTTAGAGTCCTCTGTTGTGAACAGGAAGGGAATCCTTTCTAACTACTTTGCTTGTTCTGTAAGTAGTCTACAGCATTCTCAGACTCTGGGAAGGGCATGGCCCCTGCCTGGCGCTAAGGTAAAGGGCAGAGAGGGCTTCTGACAGCAGGACTAATTAAGGGGGAAGAAGGAAATGGCTCCTTCCCCTGGAATTTTATGGGGAGAAGCTCAATCAGCAAACATGTTTTAGGAGTCAACATAATGAATATTTTATCAGACGCCAAGGGCTAGATGACAGAAGCCAGGGCTATGGTCCCTGCCCTCAAAAAACATACTGTTTAGTCCAGTGATTCTCAAGGTGAGGCCCAGGGACCCCTAGGAACTCCCTGAGCTCCTCCTTTTCAGAACTCTAAATTATTTTCTTAATAATACTAAACCATTATATGTTTTTCACTGTCATTTTCTCACAAAAGCTAAATTACACGTGAAATCGCAAAAGCAGATCTGAGGCTCCAGCTGCTTTTGTGGAAGTCAAATATTAACAGAGTGGGCAAAAATGCATAGCCATGCCAGTTTCCTCATTTTTAAAACACTGGTTTATAAAATATAGTAATTTGTTTCCAAAGAAAATGCTGTTTACGTAAGCTTCAATGAGTTTATTACAGGCATTTAAAAATAAGATCAATAAATATTCTAATTGTACTAGAAATCAATAAATTAGAAATCAGTAAATCTCAACTAACATAATAGCCTAAATAAATAAATGCCACCTGGGTCCTCAATAAATGTTTAGATTATAAAGGAGTCCTAGCATCAGAAAGCTCAGAATCCTTTAAGGAGCTCGTCATGTGTCTCCTGGTCAGTCACATATTGAAAAGCTGAGTGTCACATTTTAACAACATGTGAGTGCCCCGACAACACTCCTTTCCCCTGAATGTTCGTTCTTCCTGGAACTGGAACTACGCACCAACAATGCTGCTTTAGTGAGAATCATATACCCGGTCAAGATATCTCAACAGAACACTCTTCACTGCACTGACAATGTAATTACCACCTTTAATGTAGTAGGATGGTTTTAAAGGAAACACCTATAAGGGACTATTTTTGTAGAATGTTCCACATTCTGTCATCACAGAATTCACTCACAATGTTTAAAAAAACTATCAAAAGAGATGGCATCTTAAGCAATGAAAATTATGAGAAACTACTTTCAAATAAATGAGTCGATGCCTTTTTAAAGAAAATTCTTTCAATTAAATATGTTTCCTTCCAAAAGCAACAAAAATGAAAATAGCTGCTTTCAGTTTATATTATACCAGCCGCTCCGCGGGAGAAAGACGAGGCTTTCTACTCCTGTAAAGATTTACACCCTCGGAAACCCTGTACAGGGTCACTATGGGTCGGAACCGACTCGATGGCACTTAACAACAACAACAACAACAAAGGCTCCATATCTGTGGGCATGTTCAAGCTAGATATAAACACAGAAACTCCCAAACAAGGTAAAAAGTTTCAGGATCCCTATCTCAGAAAACTAAAATATACTTTATATTTGAACAGGACGTGCTAAAAATAGTACCTTTATTTCTGCAACTGAAAACCTAAATCCTGTTGCTGAAAACAAAAATGATGCAAAAATTTAAATTCATAGTAATTTAACGTTTCCTTATTAAATTTACACTTGTGGACACTACTTAAGCTGAGCTATTTCAAGGACTGGTGACCTGACTACTGCTGTTGCTGTTAAGTACCGTGGAGTCGGTTCCGACCCATAGCGACCCTGTACAGGGTTTCCGAGGCTGTAAATCTTCACGGGAGCAGAAAGCCTCATCTTCTCCCGCAGAACCCCTGGTAGTTTAGAACTGCCGACCTTGAGGTTAGCAGCCCGATTCATAGCCACTACGCTACCAGAGTTCCTTACTGCTTTTGTTAGGAGATGTTATGTCAATTTCAACTCACAGTGAACCCATGTGAAAGAGTAGAACTGCCCCATAAGATTGTTGTGGTTGCATAGTCACAGAAACAGATTGTCAGGTCTGTTTTCTTCACACAAACTCACAAAGTGGGTTTGAACTGTCAACCTTTAGGTTAGCATTAAGCACTTAACCATTTGCACCACCATGGCTCCTTTGGAAACTTGATTAATTGTTAACGACAACTTTCTTGCAACTAGAGTTCTAGGTTCACTGGAAATAAATGAAAATGCAATCATGTTAAGCAAAAGTGACAAGTAATGCCAGCGAAACAGGTTAAAGTACAGGAACTTTCAGTAGAACCTCTGCACTTACTGCTGGTGATGGACCAGTCAGTAGCTGTGACCAATAAGCCAGCCCCAGCACCAATATCCTGAACTTTCATTGGCTAAGAGGCAGAGAGGCAGCCTGTAAGATTCTACTGTCTCTCATTCTACTGGGAAAAGTATGGAACAAGGCCATAGGAAAGACTTCTGGTGTAGCATTGTAGGACAAACTGGACTGCTACCCATAAAGGAGGAGGTTCAAACTCACCAGCTACTCCTCAGAAACCCGGTACTGGGTCATTAAGAGTCAGAACCAACTCGATGGCACTTCACAAGGAAAAAAACAAACCAAGCGATACTATGGCTGAGAACATTTCTCCACAAATGCCCTGGTTGTCATCAACTTCACATCCCAAGGTACTTTCCCTTTTACTGTCCTTTCAAGTTCTCCCTCTCTTTTCCAAGGAAAACTTTTAATTATCAAACTCTCAGCCTATTTCCTTTCCCCAGACTCCCTGAAATAGTGATTTTTCAAGGTAATTTCTTTAACAATCAATTCCATGGACATGTTCTTTTCTCTGTGTGTGTGTTAAAAATACGTCTAACATAACATTTGCTAATTCAGCATACTTCACATGTCCAACTCAAGGATACCTTGTTGATTACATTGTATGACTACTATCAATTTCCGAATTGTTCCATCACCCTTTAATAGTTAGTTCAGTGCCCCCTAAGCAGTGAATTCCCCTTTCCTCTTTTTGGCCCCTGGTAACCACTAATAAGCATGTCGAAACTACTTGCTGTTCCATCGGAGAAAGATGAGGCTTTCTGCTTCCGTGAATATTTACAGCCTCAGAAACCCTGTACAGGGTCACTATGAGTCGAAACCAACTCCATGGCACATAACAACTACCACTAATAAATTTAGGTCTGTATACACTTGCCTACACTAGCCATTTCTTGCAAGTGGAATCACACAATTGTAGTCCTTTTGTGGGTTCTCTCTGATATCAGCCACCCCTCCTCCTCCTTGAACCTCTTCCATGGGGTGTACGACCACACTCTCCCAGATTTCCCCGCCTCTCTGATTGCTTTTTCTGACGGGTACTCTATTTTCACTCATCTCTTACAATGGGTGTTCACTAGGATTCCATGCCTTTTTCCCCAGGCTACAAAAGACACATAAGCACTTCCTAGACATTACCACTCTGTAAGTGTCAACTTCTGCATCTAAGAAACCAAACTCCACTGTCACTGAGCTAATTCTGACTCACAGCAACCCTGTATAGGATTTCTGCGGCTGTAAATCTGTAAGATATCAAAAAGTTTCATCTTTATCTTACAGAGTGACAAACGGGTTTGAACTGCCGACCTTGTAGTTTGCAGTCCAGCACTTATCCTAAAGTGCCACCAGGACTCCTTCCTGCCCCTAAAGTATACCAAAAAAAAAAATGTTTTTAAATCCATTGTCATAAAGTTGATTCCAACTCATGACGACCTCATATATATTTACAGAGTATTTTCTTGACACTAATCTTTAGTGAATCAACCTTTAGGTTAGTAGTCGAGTACAAACCATTTACATCAAGCACCCAGGGGCCTTTACTATACGTCTACCACTCTCCTTTAATAAGATCAACAAAATGCATAAAACAGAGACTAAAATGTAGGAAGGGCTCAGCAAATGCTACCTATCTTCATTGAGACTTCTCTCCTGAGCTTCAGACTGCTATGTTTAATGGCCTATTAGATGCCTGTATCTAGATTATTCCTAAAACTAATCCTACCCCAAACAGCACTGCTCCTCCTCTTCCCAGCCAAAAGCAAACAAAAAATTTAACTCTCCTTTTCCATTCTATACCTCTCTCATTCATTCATTCATTCATTCGTTCGTTCATTCTTTCAAAAATATTTTGAGCCTGATACTGTCTCTAGGTTGGTGAATTCTAAGTGAACA